TTAAATAATGTCCTTAACACAATAATGGTTAACAACTTTAGAGGGTGATATGTTCATTTGATACTAATTTATGGGGAAAACTCATGCAATCAAAAGAAATCGGTTTAATCACAAATGAAAATGTTTATTTGGAATGTGTGATGTCTAACAGAATATTCCTTCCCCTTCAAAATCCTGGATTCACAACTGGTGTTTAACTGTAGAATACATGTAACCTCATTTCTGTGTTATATGTACCGGTCCCAAGAAACGGGTGCATGAAGTTTAGAAGTTGTTCTTGCCTTTGTCTTAAATATTTGTATATAAATGTCATCATGGGTATTGTCCATGTTTTTAGATCTTAGTTTCGATCTGTAGTTTGTTATAAAGTTACACTTTTTTTACTTTTATGGATCTATGTTTCATTGGCAACCATTCCACAGATCTTAGATTTTATAACCAAAGTACTTCATTAGTGGATTATTAGTTATTATAATACATTATACAGTTTGTATTGTCTTACACAATCATCATAATTATAAATGTAAATCTACTATCAAGTAGGTCTTTTCATTATGTTATTATGTTGAACTAAAGGAGCTTGCACACAATAAAAATGGTGGAATCTAATTCAGTGTACTTGAATATTTTATATATATTATAATAAAAAATTATCCATTTATTGTTTATTTACCATCTTTATGTTTTAAGTAATAATAATTGCACAAAAATGTATAAATCCATGTGCTACCCTACATTTGACCTCACACTGCATGTTCATATCACTTCCTGTCAACTACACAAAGATTAATGAAAAACAGATGGCACATAACATTTTTTCACTGGCTCACATGTCTAATTAATGATAGAGAATTAATGCATGGAAATAATTTGTGTGTACATTTTTTCCAGGCAAAAGTCATCATTCAACCCTCTTTCCATCTCAAAAATATTCTAAGTCAAGATTCTATCCTTTTTCCCATGTTAAAATTTTCTAAATCAAGATTCCATCCTCTTTTCCATCTCAAAAATATTCTAAGTCATGTTTTCATCCTCTGTTCCATCTACAAAGTTTTATTAGTCTACTTTCCATCCCATTTTCCATCCAAAAATTATTTTTTCCATAGAATTCCATGGAAATTTTCCCATCTTATCATGGAAAATGATGGAATAAGTGACACATATAAGTATCTCATCAGTGATGGAATATTTTTCCATGAAATTCCATGAAATTCCATGGAAAAAAAAGAAATTTCCATCATTTCCCATAATTTTTTCATGGAAAAACTAGGGATGGGTGGGTAAGTAAATAATTTTGTCATGATTGCCTGTGAACAAGTAAAAAAATATGAGCTATGTTGAGAAATAGTTTTTAAAGAATTTGGTGTAAAATTGCACCTAAATGCCTTTATGGCATAGTGAATCTTTATCCTGAAACCATAGTTGACACTTTAATGAATATATATTCAATGCACTTCAAATCAAAAATGCAAAAATCATAACTGTCAACAGAGTTAACTACTCAATTGATAGAATTTAGTTATTCTAAGACTTCACCCAGATTTTTTTATGCTTAGAAAAATAATTGACATCAGTGTTTTGAAAAACTTTATTTCAATATATTAAATAATAAGATTTATATAAAAATAAGGAGATGTAGTTTAATTGCCAATGAGACAACTATCTATCAGAGTCTCAAAAGATGTGGATTTAAAAAAAACTATAGGGCACTGTATGGCCTTCTACAATGAGCAAAACCCATACGTTATGGTAAGTTTAAAGGCCATGACTTGACAAAATGTGAAAACAATTCAAATGAGAAAACCCAACAGTCTGATAAATTTAAAAATAGTTAACAATAACAAATATGTAAAACAGCAACTTTGGACAGGCATAGAGTTGAACTAGTTTGTGAGACTTGAGACAGGCATATAAAGAATGTGACAGGGTTGAACATTTTTGTGAGACTTGGGACAGGCATATAAAGAATGTCACAGGGTTAAACATGTTTTTCAGACCAGGGACAGGCATTTAAGGAATGTGACAGGGATGAACATGTTTGTGAGACTTGGGACAGACATTAAAAGAATGTGGTAGACTTTAACATGTGTGTGAGAATTGGGACAGGCATATAAAAAATGTGGCATGTTGAAAATGTTTGTGAGCCCTTAAACCTCATGATATGGATTCTCAGAGGAAGACTTGAGGAAGTACTTTACTGCAATTAAATATGTATTCTTTTCTGTGTCAGTTACTCATTTTGATTAAAAATTTTATAACATATCTTATGCATAACTTTTTTCTAGAGATTTTTGCAGCCCTGACCACACCAACACAATGCCAGATGTTGATCAGCCTCTCTAACAAGATGACAGACATACTAGAACAGTGTAGACTTCTATTGCTGGCCATGAGGAAGTTCACTTCCCTGGTCAATGAACACGGGGTAAGTGGGTGGCTTTGATTATCTTATTATTGAGCCTAAAAAGGAGGAGGTATGATAGAGATTATTTTTAGACTTTTTGGTTATTATCTTGTAATAAATAGCATGACGCCCATTATAGATTAAGTGTGAATAACAAAAATTATCATCATTACAAGATCTACCAAAAGGTTATGAACATCTGTAAACTACTGTTGCCTTTATTCACATGATTATGTTCATCAATTTTCCTTATAAGAAAAGGAGATATTTGTTTGCCAAGATACAAATATCCTTAAGGACCAAAAGACAAAGTACCAGCAATTTGAGATTTTTACCAATTTTTATACGACCGCAAAAAAATTTTGTGGTCGTATATTGGTATGACGTTGGCGTCGTCGTCGTCGTCGTCGTCGTCGTCGTCGTCGTCCGGCGTCGTCGTCCGAATACATATTGGTTTTCGCACTCTAACTTTAGTTTAAGTGAATGGATCTTTTTGAAATTTTACCATAAGGTTAAATACCACAAAAGGAAGGTTGGGATTGATTTTGGGGGTTATGGTACCAACAGTTAAGGAATTAGGGGCCAAAAAGGGGCCAAAAATGAGCATTTTCTAGTTTCCAGACAATAACTGTGGAACGGTGTATGGATCTCTCTGAAATTATACTACAAGTTTCCATACCACAAAGGGATGGTTAGGATTTGCTTTGGGGGGTTATGGCTCAAACCGTTTAGGAATTAGGGGCAAAAAAGGGGGAAAAACAAGGTTGTCCTGGTTAATGGACAAATACTTTAGTACAAAACATAATTTAAAGCAGTGTAAGGGAGATAAATCAAATACATCATTGAAATTATCTCCCTTACACTGCTTTTAAATTATGTATAAAGTAATGGTTAATGAACAATAAAGATAATCTAAAACAGTGTAAGGGAGGTAATCCAAATACAATGTTTTGGTTACTTCCCTTACACTGCTTTTAAATTATGTTTAAAGAAATGCATATTTATAAAGGAAGACCAGTAAAAATATCTGCAAATGTTTTCATCTTTTTTTTTTACAAAAAAATCCATATGAAAGATTTGACACTATATTTTTATTAATTCTATTATAAAATAGATTAAGTTAGCACTATGGTAAATTTAAATGGGTAATTATGGTTGCCAACTCCATTGGAAATTTGAATTGAGATTATGACCATATCTTGAGGGAAAGAATTTTTTTGGGGGAAAAAGGGGGGGGGGATAAAAAGAAATTGTGGGGGGCCAATTTTTTCTCATTTCAGATTTCAGAAATTAAAAAGAATTATTCTTCAAATATTTTTTTTTTTTCAAATTTCAAATATTGAAAAATTTCAAGAAGTAATCTTTAATTGCACAGTATGGCGCATTAGATTTGTAAAATCTTTGATCACATTTATTTATTTGTTATGCCGAATCTAACAGTGTATTTAGATTTTTAATTTTGGGTCCAGTTTTCAAATTGGTCTACATTAATGTCCAAAGGGTCCAAAATTAAACTTTGTTTGATTTTAGCAAAAATTGAATATATGAGGTTCTTTGATATGCTGAATCTAAACATGTATTTAGATTTTTGATTTTTGGCCCAGTTTTCAAGTTGGTCCAAATTGGGGTCCAAAATTAAACTTTGTTTGATTTCAACAAAAATTGAATATATGGGGTTCTTTGATATGCTGAATCTAACCATGTATTTAGATTTTTTATTTGTGGACCCCGTTATCTAATTGGTTCATATTGAGGTCAAAAGGGTCCAAAATTAAACTTTGTTTGATTTCATCTAAAATTGAATTATTGGGGTTCTTTGATATTCCAAATCTAAACGTGTATTTAGGTTTTTAATTTTGGGTCCTGTTTTTTAAATTGGTCTACATTGAGGTCCAAAGGGTCCAAATTAAACTTAGTTTGATTTTAACAAAAATTGAATTCTTGGGGTTCTTTGATTTGCTGAATCTAAACATGTGTTTAGATTTTTGATTATGGGCCCAGTTTTCAAGTTGGTCCAAAATAGGGTCCAGTATTTAAACTTTGTTTGATTTCAACAAAAATTGAATATATGGGGTTCTTTGATATGCTGAATCTAAACATTTATTTAGATTTTTGATTATGGGCCCAGTTTTCAAGTTGGTCCAAATTGGGGTCCAAAATTAAACTTTGTTTGATTTCAACAAAAATTGAATATATGAGGTTCTTTGATATGCTGAATCTAACCATGTATTTAGATTTTTTATTTGTAGGCCCCGCTATCAAATTGGTTCATATTGAGGTCAAAAGGGTCCAAAATTAAACTTTGTTTGATTTCATCGAAAATTGAATTATTGGGGTTCTTTGATATGCCAAATCTAACCGTGTTTTTAGATTTTTAATTTGGGTCCCTTTTTTAAATTGGTCTTCATTGAGGTCCAAAGGGTCCAAAATTAAACTTAGTTTGATTTTAACAAAAATTGAATTCTTGGGGTTCTTTGATATGCTGAATCTAAACATGTGTTTAGATTTTTGATTATGGGCCCAGTTTTCAAGTTGGTTCAAGTTGGGGTCCAAAATTATACTTTTTTTGATTTCAACAAAAATTGAATATATGGGGTTCTTTGATATGCTGAATCTAACCATGAATTTAGATTTTTTATTTGTGGGCCCCGCTATCAAATTGGTTCATATTGAGGTCAAAAGGGTCCAAATTAAACTTTGTTTGATTTCATCAAAAATTGAATTATTGGGGTTCTTTGATATTCCAAATCTAACCGTGTATTTAGATTTTTAATTTTAAGTCCCGTTTTTTAAATTGGTCTACATTAAGGTCCAAAGGGTCCAAAATTAAACTTAGTTTGATTTTAGCAAAAATTGAATTCTTGGGGTTCTTTGATATGCTGAATCTAAACATGTGTTTAGATTTTTGATTATGGGCCCAGTTTTCAAGTTGGTCCAAGATAGGGTCCAGTATTTAAACTTTGTTTGATTTCAACAAAAATTGAATATATGGGGTTCTTTGATATGCTGAATCTAAACATTTATTTAGATTTTTGATTATGGGCCCAGTTTTCAAGTTGGTCCAAATTGGGGTCCAAAATTAAACTTTGTTTGATTTCAACAAAAATTGAATATATGAGGTTCTTTGATATGCTGAATCTAACCATGTATTTAGATTTTTTATTTGTAGGCCCCGCTATCAAATTGGTTCATATTGAGGTCAAAAGGGTCCAAAATTAAACTTTGTTTGATTTCATCGAAAATTGAATTATTGGGGTTCTTTGATATGCCAAATCTAACCGTGTTTTTAGATTTTTAATTTGGGTCCCTTTTTTAAATTGGTCTTCATTGAGGTCCAAAGGGTCCAAAATTAAACTTAGTTTGATTTTAACAAAAATTGAATTCTTGGGGTTCTTTGATATGCTGAATCTAAACATGTGTTTAGATTTTTGATTATGGGCCCAGTTTTCAAGTTGGTTCAAGTTGGGGTCCAAAATTATACTTTTTTTGATTTCAACAAAAATTGAATATATGGGGTTCTTTGATATGCTGAATCTAACCATGAATTTAGATTTTTTATTTGTGGGCCCCGCTATCAAATTGGTTCATATTGAGGTCAAAAGGGTCCAAATTAAACTTTGTTTGATTTCATCAAAAATTGAATTATTGGGGTTCTTTGATATTCCAAATCTAACCGTGTATTTAGATTTTTAATTTTAAGTCCCGTTTTTTAAATTGGTCTACATTAAGGTCCAAAGGGTCCAAAATTAAACTTAGTTTGATTTTAGCAAAAATTGAATTCTTGGGGTTCTTTGATATGCTGAATCTAAACATGTGTTTAGATTTTTGATTATGGGCCCAGTTTTCAAGTTTGTCCAAGTTGGGGTCCAAAATTAAACTTTGTTTGATTTTAACAAAAATTGAATATATGGGGTTCTTTGATATGCTGAATCTAACCATGTATTTTGATTTTGGACATTGGACCATAATAGGTAAATTAAAAAAATTCAAGTTCTTAGACCACATTCTTTCTGTGTCAGAAACCTATGCTGTGTCAAATATTTAATAACAATCCAAATTCAGAGCTGTATCAAGCTTGAATGTTGTGTCCATACTTGCCCCAACTGTTCAGGGTTCGACCTCTGCGGTCGTATCAAGCTGCGCCCCAGCGAAGCATTTTATTAGCTCACGGGGGCCCGAAAGGGCCCCATGTGAGCTTATACCATCACTTGGCGTCCGTTGTCGTCGTCTGTCGTCGTAAACTATTTCAAAAATCTGAAACTACTGGGCCAAATACCTTCAAACTTTAACTAAATGTTCCTTAGGGTATCTAGTTTATAAAGTGTATCCGAAGTTTTGATCAATCGACAAACATGGCCGCCATGACTAAAAATAGAACATAGGGGTCAAATGCAGTTTTTATACGACCGCAAAAATTATAAATTTTTTGGTCGTATATTGGTATGACGTTGGCGTCGTCATCGTCGTCGTCGTCGTCCGGCTTCGTCCGAAGACACATTGGTTTTCGCACTCTAACTTTAGTTTAAGTGAATGGATCTCCATGAAATTTTACCATAAGGTTCAATACCACGAAAGGAAGGTTGGGATTGATTTTGGGGGTTATGGTACCAACAGTAAAGGAATAAGGGGCCAAAAAGGGGCCAAAAATAAGCATTTTTGTAACTTTCAGACAATAACTTGTGTGTAAGTGTATGGATCTCTCTGACATTGTACCACAAGGTTCCATATCACAAAGGGAAGGCTGTAGTTGATTTTGGGGGTAATTGCCTCAAAATTTTAGGAATTAGGGGCCAAAAAAGGGGCAAAAAACAAGCATTTTTCTAGTTTCATGACAATAACTTGTGTGTAAGTGTTTGGATATTTCTGAAATTGTACTACAAGGTTTCATATCACAAAGGGAAAGCTGGAATTGAGTTCGGGGGTAATTGCCTGAAACGTTTAGGAATTGGGGGCCAAAAAGGGGCCAAAAATAACCTTATTTCTAGTTTCAAGACAATAACTTGTGTTGAAGTGTATGGATCTCTCTGAAATTGTACTGCAAGGTACCATACCACGAAGGGAAGGCTGGGATTGAGTTTGGGGGTGATGAATCATAAGGGGGTTCAAAAAATTTGGGGGGGGGGATTTTTTTTTTTTTCTTTTTTTTTCTTTTTTTCCTTTTTTTTTTCTTTTAAAATTTTCCATTTTAAGTTGGTTATTTCTGATTTATATTTAAAAGCAAATAATAATGATATGGTAGGAGATACACACCAAACAGGATGTGTAAATTTTTATATAATAAGTATTGTGCAATAGCAAGAAATTTTCAATTGCACAGTATTGCACAATAGCAAGAAATCTTCAATTGCACAGTATTGCGCAATAGCAAGAAATCTTCAATTGCACAGTATTGCGCAATAGCAAGAAATATCCAATAGCACAATATTGCGCAATAGCAAGAAATTGTCAATTGTACAGTATTGCGCAATAGCAAGAAATATTCAATTGCACAGTATTGTGCAAAAGAAGATACTTCTTATAAATTGCTTATTTCTTGATCAATTTCAATGGGGTTTTATTCTTGAATTCTTGGGGTTCTTTAATATGCTGAATATAACCGTGTATTAAGTTTTTGGATTTTGGGCCCCGTTTTTAAATTGGTCCACATTGAGGTCCAAAGGGTCCAAAATTTAACTTTGTTTGATTTCATCAAAAATTGAATTATTGGGGTTCTTTGATATGCCAAATCTAACCGTGTATTTAGATTCTTAATTTTTGGTTCCGTTTTCAAATTGGTCTACATTAAGGTCCAAAGGGTCCAAAATTAAACTTAGTTTGATTTTAACAAAAATTGAATTTTTAGTGTTCTTTGATATGCTGAATCTAAACATGTATTTAGATTTTTGATTATGGGCCCAGTTTTCAACTTGGTCCAAATCGGGGTCCAAAATTAAACTTTGTTTGATTTCAACAAAAATTGAATATATGGGGTTCTTTGATATGCTGAATCTAACCAAGTATTTAGATTTTTGGGCCCAGTTATCAACTTTGTCCACATTGAGGTCAAAAGGGTCCAAAATTAAACTTTGTTTGATTTCATCAAAAATTGAATTCTTGGGGTTCTTTGATATGCTGAATCTAACCATGTATTTAGATTTTGGATATTGGACCATAATAGGTGAATGTCCAATTTAAAATTTTTAAGTTCTTAGACCACATTCATTCTGTGTCAGAAACCTATGCTGTGTCAAATATTTAATCACAATCCAAATTCAGAGCTGTATCAAGCTTGAATGTTGTGTCCATACTTGCCCCAACTGTTCAGGGTTCGACCTCTGCGGTCGTATCAAGCTGCGCCCTGCGGAGCATTTTATTGGCTTATATCTCAAAAACTAAAGCTTTTAGAGCAAATCTGACACAGGGTAAAATTGTTCAATTGGTCAAGATCTATCAGCTCTGAAATTTTCAGACGAATCGAACAACCCATTGTTGGGTTGCTGCCACCGAATTGGTAGTTTTAACAAAATTTTGCAGTTTTTTGTTATTATTTTGAATATTATTATAGATATATATAAACTGTAAGCAGCAATAATGTTCAGCAAAGTAAGATCTACAAAAAAGTTAATATGACCATAATTGTCAATTGACCCCTTAAGGAGTTATTGCCCTTTAAAGATAATTTTACACAATTTGTTCAAGTTTGCTAACATTTAAAAATCTTCTCCTCTGAAACTACTGGGCCAATTACCTTCAAACTTTAACTAAATGTTCCTTAGGGTATCTTGTTTATAAATTGTATCCGAAGTTTGTATCCATCGACAAACATAGCCGCCATGGCTAAAAATAGAACATAAGGGTCAAATGCAGTTTCTGGCTTATATCTCAAAAACTAAATCTTTTATAGCAAATGTGACATAGGGTAAAATTGTTTAATTGGTCAAGATCTATCGGCCCTGAAATTATCAGACGAATCGAACAACCCATTGTTGGGTTGCTGCCACCGAATTGGTAGTTTTAACAAAATTTTGCAGTTTTTATACGACCGCAAAAAATTTTTGTGGTTGTATATTGGTATGACGTTGGCGTCGTCGTCGTCGTCGTCGTCGTCGTCCGGCGTCGTCGTCCGAATACATATTGGTTTTCGCACTCTAACTTTAGTTTAAGTGAATGGATCTTTTTGAAATTTTACCATAAGGTTAAATACCACAAAAGGAAGGTTGGGATTGATTTTGGGGGTTATGGTACCAACAGTTAAGGAATTAGGGGCCAAAAAGGGGCCAAAAATGAGCATTTTCTAGTTTCCAGACAATAACTGTGGAAGTTGGAACGGTGTATGGATCTCTCTGAAATTATACTACAAGTTTCCATACCACAAAGGGATGGTTAGGATTTGCTTTGGGGGGTTATGGCTCAAGCCGTTTAGGAATTAGGGGCAAAAAAGGGGGAAAAACAAGGTTGTTCTGGTTAATGGACAAATACTTTAGTACAAAACATGATTTAAAGCAGTGTAAGGGAGATAAATCAAATACATCATTGAAATTATCTCCCTTACACTGCTTTTAAATTATGTATAAAGTAATGGTTAATGAACAATAAAGATAATCTAAAACAGTGTAAGGGAGGTAATCCAAATACAACATTTTGGTTACTTCCCTTACACTGCTTTTAAATTATGTTTAAAGAAATGCATATTTATTAAGGAAGACCAGTAAAAATATCTGCAAATGTTTTCATCTTTTTTTTTTTACAAAAAAATCCATATGAAAGATTTGACACTATATTTTTATTAATTCTATTATAAAATAGATTAAGTTAGCACTATGGTAAATTTAAATGGGTAATTATGGTTGCCAACTCCATTGGAAATTTGAATTGAGATTATGACCATATCTTGTGGGAAAGAATTTTTTTGGGGGAAAAAAGGGGGGGGGGATAAAAAGAAATTGTGGGGGACCAATTTTTTCTCATTTCAGATTTCAGAAATGAAAAAGAATTATTCTTCAAATATTATTTTTTTTTTCAAATTTCAAATATTGAAAAATTTCAAGAAGTAATCTTTAATTGCACAGTATGGCGCATTAGATTTGTAAAATCTTTGATCACATTTATTTATTTGTTATGCCGAATCTAACAGTGTATTTAGATTTTTAATTTTGGGTCCAGTTTTCAAATTGGTCTACATTAATGTCCAAAGGGTCCAAAATTAAACTTTGTTTGATTTTAGCAAAAATTGAATATATGAGGTTCTTTGATATGCTGAATCTAAACATGTATTTAGATTTTTGATTTTTGGCCCAGTTTTCAAGTTGGTCCAAATTGGGGTCCAAAATTAAACTTTGTTTGATTTCAACAAAAATTGAATATATGGGGTTCTTTGATATGCTGAATCTAACCATGTATTTAGATTTTTTATTTGTGGACCCCGTTATCTAATTGGTTCATATTGAGGTCAAAAGGGTCCAAAATTAAACTTTGTTTGATTTCATCTAAAATTGAATTATTGGGGTTCTTTGATATTCCAAATCTAACCGTGTATTTAGGTTTTTTAATTTTGGGTCCTGTTTTTTTAAATTGGTCTACATTGAGGTCCAAAGGGTCCAAATTAAACTTAGTTTGATTTTAACAAAAATTGAATTCTTGGGGTTCTTTGATTTGCTGAATCTAAACGTGTTTAGATTTTTGATTATGGG